CGATAGATAGATGGAGAGATAGAGAGAGAGAAAGATAGACAGATAGACAGATAAATAGATAGATAGATGGATAGATAAATAGATAGGTAGACGGATTGATAGGTAAATAGATAGATAGATAGATAGCTGGATAGATAGACGAATAGCTAGAAAACTAGACAGCTAGATAGATAGGTAGGTAGATAGATAGGGAGATAGATAGACAGACAGATAGATAGACAGATAGACAGATAGATCAGTAGGTAGGTAGATAATCAGAGAAAGATAGAGAAACAGAGAGAAAAAGAGAGAAAGAGAGAGAAAGAGAGGACACCTCAAGCACCTTTCAGTCCATCAGTGGCTTCGCTCTGCCATCCCTGATTCACAACAACCAACCTCTCCTATAGGTTTTTTTTATTTTTGAAACTTCCGCCACCGCCTTGTGCGGTACTACTGGTATTGAAAATTATAGCCCAATTTACAACTAACCAGCTTTTCCCATTGATATTTGTTGGCACGAAAGTGAGTTTGAAGAGACTTCGAGCCTCGCAAGCTGCCAAGCCCTGCCTGTCATCCCGGCTCCAAGCTTTTGTCAAAATGGAAGAAGCACGGATAATCGTGGTCCGAGCCTCAAGATGTGGCTCTCCGATGTGGGCAACACAGTTGCTGCCTAAGGTAGGCGCGAACGAGCCAGCAAGTCCAGCAAGCCCGGAAACCGGGAAGTCTGGAAGGGAAGATGATGCGATCGCAGACCTGCAGCCCATCGCAGCGGAGGACTGCTCACATCAGACCGACGTTCAGCATTGCATGGCATAGTTTTCAGGAGACTGCACAGGAAAAGGCAGCGCGACTGGCCAAGGCCTTTTGTACATCAGCGAGTTCAAGTATGTACAATTCAAGTGTGAGAATCATCAAGAGTTTTGAACGATGAACGATTGACCGCAAACAGCAATTGAAAAGGCCATTGTATATCTTGTGCTATGTGATAGATGGATCAAAGTTTGTGATCTTGACGTGCTATTCAGGAAAGATCAGTAAATCTGAAAGAGCAACCTGTCTGATTGGGTTGAGTTGCAAGCTGTTGCAGATCTTGGACTTCCACTTCACTGCACACAATACAGTTACACAATGTTACACAATGTTACACAATGTTACACACGATGGCAGATGTTACTCCGTGTAACTGTATGCCTTCTGTATGCCGTGCATGTTGTGTCTGCATCGAGGTGGGGTGGCAAGGCTTCGTTGGGAGCACTCTTCTCGCTCCTCGGACATCCGACACGACAGGATCCTTGGATCATCCCTTGGATCATCCCACGTGGTGAATACCCGAAGAACCCTGGTTAGATTAGTTAGTAAGTCCCTGATTCGTGAGTTATCCCATTTATATCGATTTATAAATAGGTTATAATCCCAGGTACAAATCAGTTACTGGGATGATCCTCCAAGTAGGAAGCCTTTAGTGTGTCAAGGATGAAGATGGATTGAAGTGATTGAAGTGTGTCCAAGTCCATGTGCCACGATTTGAGTCATTCAAGTTGTTTTGAAGTTGTTTAAGACTGTGTTGTGGTAACACTGTGGAACACCAATCTTTGCCAATCTTTGAGATGTTCGAATATGTTCTCGATGTTCCCAGGCTTGCCACCTGCACGGAGAAGTTGGTGCTGGCACCTTGGAAGCCTTGGCAGAAGTTGGTTGTAACGGTGACCACAGCGTCGATGCAGCGGTGATGCTGTCGCAGCTGAGTTGATCGGAATCATCGGAGCTATGGGACATGGAGCTGGTCAGCCTTTGACACTTGGAACAGACTTGGAAACCAGAAAGGCTCAGAAATGCTCAGAAATGCTCAGAATACATTGTGAAATTGTCTTAATATGTGCTAAAATTAAAAAAACAAGGTGGGCCAGAGAACCCAAAAGCAAGACGGCACACAGCACGCCTCTTTTTGAAAATCTTGTGGTGTGGGCAGCTGTGCTCTGCACGAAAACGACGTAAGATCTTTACTGAAACATCATGCGCACTGATGGCATCAGGGGCCACAATCCACCACAGCATGCTGTGCCAGCTACGTCTACATTCTTCTAGTCGCTGTTTCTGCTAGATATAATTACATATTAAATCTATCCCATCTTTCTAGTCGCTATTTATTCCTGGGTTCTCGTTTAGTTTGCTTCGCTGCAAAGGGAGCGAGGACAAAGCGTGGACGGACAGAACACCGCGCAAAATGAAAACTCAACGACGGAGGGAGCTGACCAAAAGAGCATGAGAACGAAGATATGAAGATGACAAATGGTGAATGATCATGAAAAATGAGACACGATGAAAGATGGGTAAAGACTTCTCTGTACAAAAAGCTTCTATGCGTAAAAGCTACTGTGTGTAAACGCGTCTGTGCGGACAAGTTTCTTTGTGTAAAAGTTCCTCTGTGTAAAAGTTTCTTTGCGTACCAGCTTCTGTCTGTAAAAGCTCCTCTGTGTTAAGGGTTTGTTTGTGTAAAAGCTTCTGTGTGTAAAAGCTTCTCTGTGTAAAAGACTTCTCTGTGTCAAAGCCTCTGAGTGTACAAGCTTCTCTGTGTAAAAGTTCCTCTGTGTAAAAGCTCCTCTGTGAAAAAGCTGCTCTGTGTAAAAGGCTTCTCTGTGTAAAAGCCTCGGTGTGTGCAAGCTTCTCTGTGTCAAGACTTCTTTGTGTAAAGATTTCTCTATGTAAAAGCTACTCTGTGTAAAGGTTCTGCGTGTAAAAGCTTTCCTGCGTAAACGCCTCCGTATGAAAAAATTCCTGTGTGTAAACCCTTCTGTGTGAAAAAGCACCTTTGCGTAAAGGCTTTTTTGGTGTAAAAGCTTCTGTGTAAAAGCTTCTGTGTGTAAAAGTTTCTGTGTGTAAAAACTTCTGTGTATTGAAAAATCCTTATGCAAAAGCTTCTGTATATAAAAGACCCCCTGTGTGTACAAGCTTCGCTGCGTAAAAGCTGCTCTATGTAAAAGTTCAGTGCGCCGTAAAGTTGTCTGTTTGTAAAACCTTCTGTGTGTGAACGCGTCTGTGTGTACAAGATTCTGTGTGCAAAAGCTCCTCTGTGTAAAGACTTCTCTGTGTAAACGCGTCTGTGCGTAAGGGCTCCTCTGTGTAAAGACTTCTCTGTGTAAACGCGTCTGTGCGTAAAAGCTTCTCTGTCTAAGACTTCTCTGGGTAAAAGCTACGTTGTGCAAATGGTTTTGTGCGTAAAAGGCTTCTGTGTAAAAGTTCCTCTGTGTAAAGGCTTCTCTGTGTAGACGCGTCTGTGCGTAAAAGCTCCTCTGTGTAAGACTTGTTGTAAAAAGCTTCTGTGTGTAAAAGTTTCCTTGTGCAAAAGCTCCTGTGTGTAAGAACTTCTCTGCGTAAAGGCTTTTTTGTGTAAACGCTTCTGTGTGTGTGTACAAGCTGCTGTGTGGAAAAGTTTCTGCGCGCCGAAAGAGCCTCTATTTTTAAAACCTTCTGTGTGTAAACGTGTCTGTGTGCAAAAGCTTCTGTGTTTAAATCTCCTTTGTGTAAGGACTTCTCTGCGTAAAAGCTCCTCTGTGTCAAGACTTCTCTATAAAAGGCTTCTCTCTGTAAAAGCCTTTGTGTGTACAGGCTTCTCTGTGTCAAGGCTTCTCTGTGTAAAGACTTCTCTGTGTAAAAGCTACTCTGTGCAAAAAAGCTTCTGTGTGTAAATGCGTCCTTGTGTCAAGACTCCTCTGTGTAAACGCGTTTGTGTTTCAAAGTTTCTGTGTAAAGGCTTTTTGGTGTATAAACTTTTGAGTGTAAAAGCTTCTGTGTGTAAGAGTTTCTCTGTGCGTAAACGTTTTTTGTGTGTGAAAACTTTGTGCAAAAACTCATTTGAGTAAAGACTTATCTGTGCAAACCCGTTTGTGCGTAAAAGCTCCTCTGTGTCAGACTTATCGGTGTAAAAAGCTTGTGTGTGTGAAAGTTTCTGTGTGTAAAAGCTTTCCTGTGTGTAAACTCTTCTCTGTGTAAAGGCTTTTTTGTGTAACAGCTTCTGTGTGTAAAAGCTGCCCTGTGTAAAAGTTTCAGTGCGCCGTAAACGCTTCTGTGTGTAAAACTTCCTGTGTGTAAACACGTCTCTGTGTAAAAGTTTCTGTGTGTAAATTTCCTTTGTGTAAGAAGGATTTCTCTGTGTCAAAGCTCCTCTGTGTAAAGACTTCTCTGTGTAAAAGCCACTCTGCGTAAAAGCTTCTGTGCGTGGGGGCTTCCGTGTGTAAACGCATCCGTGTGTAAAAAACACTCCTGTGTAAACGCGTCTGTGTGTGAAAGCTTCTGTGCGTAAAAGTTTCTGTGTAAACGCTTTTTTGTGTAAAAACTTCTGTGCGTAAGAGCTTCTCTGTGTCAAGGCTTTCCCGTGTAAAAGCTTCTGTGTTTAAAAGCTTCCGTGTGTAAAGCTCCTCTGTGTGTAAACGTTTTGTGTGTAAAAGCTGCTCTGCGTAAAAGTTTTTTTGTGTAAAAGCGTCTATGTGTAAAAGCTCCTCTGTGTGTACAAGCTTCTCTGTGTAAAAGCTCCTCTGTGTAAAGACTTCTCTGTGTCAAAGCCTCTGCGTGTACAAGCTTTTCCGTGAAAAAGCTCCTCTGTGAAAAAGCTGCTCTGTGTAAAAGGCTTCTCTGTGCGAAAGCCTCTGTAAGTGCAAGCTTTTCTGTGTCAAGACTACTCTGTAAAAAGACTTCTCTGCGTAAAAGCTTTTGTGTGTAAAACCTTTCCTGTGTAAAAGATTCTGTGTATAAAGTCCTCCCTGTGTACAAGCTTCCCTGTGTAAAAAGATCCGCCGTGTAAAGCTCCTCTGTGTAAAGCTCCTCTGTGTAAAAGCTACTCTGTGTAAAATCCGTGCCAACAGCTCCGCATTTTCAGTGCCGCTCCCTCTCAGCAGAGCTCTTCCCAAGCTATCTCCCCACCTGTCCGTTCACGCTGATGCATATCCTATGCTTGGGCTATCGTTTAGCTTGCTTCGCTGCAAAGGGAGCGAAAACCAAGCATCAACGGACAGAACATGTCCGGGGCATGTCCCGTTGCCCAGCGTTTAGACACCGTTTGACAAGTCTTTGGCACACTTTTTTCCGGACAATCGCGTTGATGGAATTTGTCCTGAAAAATGCGTGCCAACAGCTCTGCTCCTTTAGTCTCGCTCCCTGCCAACGAAGCTATGCATGTCCCATGGCACAGGGTTTGGAAACTTTGGCAGCTCTTGGGCGCACACTTCTTCGGAACAATCGTATTGATGAAATTTGTCCTACAAAAACCCGTGCCAACAGCAGTGCATTTTTAGTGCCGCTCCCTGCCAGTGAAGCTATGCATGTCACATCGCCCAACGTTTGCAAACCACTTGAAAAGTCTTGGGCGCACAATTTTTCGGGACAATCGCATTGACAAAACTTGTCCTGAAAACCCGTGCCAACAGCTCTGCTTCTCAGTATGTCGCTTCTTCCCAACGGAGCTCTCCCCAAGCTATTTCCCACGGTTTCCCGTCCGTCCACCCTCTCATCGCTCCCGTCTCGCTCCTTCCCAACGGAGCTCTCCCCAAGCTATTTCCCACAATTTCCCTTCCGTCCACCCTCCCGTCGCTTCCATGTCGCTCATTCCCCTCGGAACTCTCCCCAAGCTATTTCCCACGGTTTCCTTTCCGTCCACCCTTTCGTTGCTCCCGTATCGCTCCTTCCCACCGGAGCTCTCCCCAAGCTATTTCCCACGGTTTCCCTTCCGTCCACCCTGTCGTCATTCCTGTATCGCTCCTTCCCACCGGAGCTCTCCCCAAGCTATTTCCTACGGTTTCCCTTCCGTCCACCCTGTCGTCATTCCCGTATCGCTCCTTCGCACTGGAGCTCCCCCCAAGCTATTTCCCACGGCTTCCCTTCCGTCCACCCTGTCATCACTCCCGATATCGCTCCTTCCCACCGGAGCTCAAGCTATTTCCCACGCCTTCCCTTCCGTCCACCCTGTCGACACTCCCGTATCGCTCCTTCCCACTGTTTCCCTTCCGTCCACCCAGTCGTCATTCCCGTATCGCTCCTTCTGACCGGAGCTCTCCCGAAGCTATTTCCCACGGTCTCCTTTCCGTCCACCCTGTCGTCACTTCCGTATCGCCCCTTCCCACCGGAGCTCTCCCCAAGCTTCCCATGGCACGGTACCCCCCTTCCGTCCACCCTGTCGTCACTCCCGTACCGCTTCTTCCCACCAGAGCTCCCCCCAAACTATTTCACATTGTTTCCCTTCCGTCCACCCTCTCATCACTCCCGTATAGAGCCCCTTTCCACCGGAGCTCTCCCCAAGCTATTTCCCACGGCTTCCCTTCCGTCCACCCTGTCGTCATTCCCGTATATCGCTCCTTCCCACCGGAGCTCTCCCCAAGCTATTTCCCACGGTTTCCCTTCCGTCCACCCTGTCGTCATTCCCGTATCGTTCCGTCCCACTGGATCTCTCTGAAAGCTATTTCCCACAGCGCCCCTTCCGTCCACCCTGTCCTCACTCTTGCATGGCTCCTTCCCACTGGAGCCCTCCTCAAGCTATTTCCCACGGTATATATCCCCCTTCCGTCCACCCTGTCGTCATTCCCGTATCGCTCCTTCCCACCGGAGCTTTCCCCAAGCTATTTCCCACGGTTCCCCTTCCGTCCACCCTGTCGTCATTCCCGTATCATTCCGTCCCACTGGAGCTCTCCGAAAGCTATTTCCCACAGCGCCCCTTCCGTCCACCCTGTCGTCATTCCCGTATCGCTCCTTCCCACCAGAGCTCTCCCCAAGCTATTTCCCACGGTGTCAGTTGTTGAGTCTTGTCAGCCTCAGATTCCCACTGATTTCAATCCTTTGGCACCTTGGCCCAAAACATCTCGTGAATAGGGACCCCTTTTGCCTTTGTGACGCTCTGTCGAGCGTGTGATGCTACGTGTCTGATCCTTTGCTGCAAAATCAGTGCTGCAGCGTTGGTGCCTTGGGGACACCGTGAACGTGAAGGACTTGCAGTTCTCCTTGTTTTTACTTGATCTAGGTGATCATTGAATTATCTGGTTGACCACATCTTTTCTTAGCATCAGCATCTGTGGAATCTGCCAGCTACCAACACTGGTAGCGGAGCCTACGGGCTTCCTATCAGTGGGGGTGTGCACGTGGCTGCTTGGTGGCGATCTGTTTGTGAAGCAACTGATTTGTCTCTGAGTTTTTGGCCAAGAACCTTTTTTTGTCTCAGAGGGTGCGAGTATTCTGTGTGAACAACTCCACGGACTGCTTGTTACTCCTCGTTCTTTGCAACCTTCCTTGTGCAGTTTTTCTTCGACATGACGTCAGTAGAGAAACGTGATCAGATAGTGACTTGGGATGGAAATCCAGCAACATGGACTGAGTATGTGAAAAGGGTTAGATTCCAGTATGAGAAAACAGAGCCTCGCAAAAGACGTCTATTGGGTGCTGAACTAGCTTCCAGACTCACCAATAGAGCTTGGGAAGTAACCGCTGCAGAGATAGACCATGTCCAGCTTCAACGAAGCGACGGAGCTGCATATCTTCTGAAGTTTTTGGAGGACAAACTCTGCAAAGCACCAATTCCAGACACTGGTCAAAGACTTGAGGACATGCTGATCCGTCTGAGACGGACACCAGGCGCCTCCATGACGGAGTGGGCGACTCAAGTGCGGGAGACCTACCGTCGTTTGCAAAGGGCGATGGCTCGACAGCGAAGGGACAGTGAACTTCGCAAAGCTCAACTTGGAAACCCTGGACACACGGCACCAGTGCCGGAAAAGACTCAAGAAGCTCAGAGACGTAGGTCAGATGTGACTTCACCGGCTCAAGAGCGGCAATCCCACACTCCTACTGGTTCGCAAAGGTTTGGGAATGATGGCGATGACTTCAATCCTAATCCTGTGCCTGAAGGCGATCCAGGTCACGAAGATGCACCAGAGCCCAATCCAGATGGTTATCAACAAGTTCCCACGTCTGAGACCGAATCTAACCCGGGCCATTATGAGTGGTGGACACGTGAGCAGTGGGATGATTGGTATGCCCAGCGACGTCGTTGGCGTGACAAACCTTCAGACGCCTCAACCAATGTTTCCTGGGATGACACTGATGATGTCAAAGTTCAATGGGAACAGTTTGACTATGGTGAAATGCAGATTCTTCCCGAAGAGATTCTAGGATGGATTCTACTGCGACGCAGTGGCCTGCCTGCGAGTGCCAGGCTTTCCATCTTGTCTGCCATCAACAACTGTTTGGACTTCTCAGTGATGGAACGGGCCATGAGGGATCAAGAAGAAGAGCTGCTGGTGACTGAGGCCCAGAGAAGCCATGGAGCAGTTCAGCGGCCTCGGCGTTCCTTTTGGATTGAGTCTGAAGGTCAATGGGGTTTGTTAGCGGAGACAGAATTGGATGAGATCAATGAAAACTCCATTCACTGGGTTGGTGATCACTTGCCAGCAGAAGTCTATACTGCAACAGCCCCCGAGCTGACAGATGATGAACAAGCCTGGGTGACCCAGCTCCCCAATGGTCAAGAACTTGAGTGGCAATGGCATGATGATGATTTCTATGCCATGGATGTGAACGGATGTTTTTGGAGCTGGTCAGAGACGAAGACTTGGCTCGACTTTGAGGAGTGCATGGCGTCAGCTCCAGCAGATGCCAAGCAGTTTGAAGAGGTCTATGCGAACTTCCAAGATCGCATCCGCACCTTCAAGGAGAGCAGGACTTTGAATACGGCTAAACATCTGTCACGTGGTTATTAACACCTAAGCATGATGAAGGGTAAAAGTAAGGGCCAAGGTAAAGGTAAGAATCCCCGATGGGGTGGAAAGAAGGGATCAAGTTCCAACCCTGCTCAAGCTCTCATGAACTCCAAGGGAGGCCACACTAGCTCTGCTCCTACGGGCACTGGTCCTCAACGTCCTGGCAATCCAGGATACAAGGGCTGCTTTGTATGTGATTCTCGTGAACATGACTTTCGGACCTGCCCGAAGCGACAGCAGCCCACCGCACCTTCTAGCTCTTCCAGCAGACCTGTGCACTACTCCCACTCCGTGCTCAATGCTACCATCTTCATGGTATCTGGCGAGACAGAGAATGTCATGGGCATTCCTGATGAGACCATTCCTGTTTCTGCTGAAGCGCTTGCGGTTTTGGCTCAGGAGTACCCTGGCCATGCAGTGATTGACTCAGGCGCAACTGAATCAATAGCTTCTTTGGAAGCCTTGGATGAAATCATGCAGTTGCGTAGCGAACGTTTTGGCAGTGAAGATGTCGTAGTGCACGAGCAGAAGAAGCGTTTTCGTTTTGGAAATGGTGAGATGAAGTGTGCAGAGTCTTTTGTAGAGCTTCCTCAGTTTTTGTCAGGGCACCCAGTGAAACTGGGAGTACACGCCATGGATGCTCCGGGTGTTCCACTTTTGATTTCAGTGAAGACCTTGACACGTTTGCATGCAGTGGTAGATTTTTCAACAGCGGAGATTTGCTTCAAGTCCATTTCCGACAAGGTTTGGATTCCCCTGAAGCGTGCCAAGAATGGCCATCTTTTGCTGAATCTCACGCAGGACTGGTTTCATGGTGAGTCCAATGTGCTGCACGATGAAGTTTCACATGTTTCAGATGATGTCAAGTCCCCTGCACAGTATAAGAGTGCGAAGCAGATTGTCGAGATGGATTCAATGGTTTTGAGAGAGTGCAATGAGGTTCAGGTAGATCAAAAGGTCTGCGAACGGAGTAGGTTTAGTGATGCCCCAGTTTTGCATAATCATGACGGACATGAGTGTGATCTTCATGAACAACTTCATCAACCTCATTCTATTTCGTCTTCATCTTTGCATACATCCTCTCATTCCGAACGTCAAGCATGTGATCAAGATGCCTCAGCCGATAGCAGCCAAGGCTCAAGCATGAGAGTGGGTCTGCCCCTACTCGCTGCAATCTGTGCGACAACATCCTCTCCGACGTGCCATGTCCCATCAAGCGGGATACCAATCCGAGAAGAACGACCAGGCCACTGCACCTTCAGCAGTGGCAAAGGAGAAGCCGAAGGCAAAGCCGAAGATATCAGCTTCTCGAAAGAACCGGGAACCCTCCAGCGAACGTTACGACTGGAGCAGGGCGGAATATGCCGACCCCCGGGACAGCCGCTGTCAAGGTTTCCCCTGCTGGGGACAGCACCAACCCGAGAAGGAGGGACGAGGATCTCTCAGCGGCAGGAACGGACATGCCAAATGGGAAGTCTGCTCAGTTTGCCGATTACGCACCCTTTATGTCCCAACTCATGGCAGCAAAGGGACATACAGGAGCGCAGGACCTTTACCTGCGGATGCTGCACGAGCCATGGAGAAGGTCAAGGACACCATCCTCACAGTCCCCGAGGATCGGGAGACTTTGACCACCAAGGCTGTGGGGATCAGCGGTGCCAAGGAATCCCTTATGAAGAAGCTTGCCAAGTTGGAGAGCGAGGAGAAAGCTCTTCAGACCAAAGGATCCTCACAGGCAACGGCCTCTGCTACACCGCCTCCAAAGACTGTCACCGAGGTTTCCAAGAAAGCGGCGAAGCGAGATCAGGAGACCACACCGGAGAAGTTGGAGGAGGAGACGGAGGGCTGGGTGGAAGTCAAGAAGTGAGGACGGGTCACTTGTCCCCAGAGGCTCATGCTATGCTTCTGCAAAGTGGCATGGACTATATCGAGGACGCCAACGCCGCCCTTGATGAGCTCTATGGCCAGCGTGTGGAACTGATGGAAATTTGCTGCCCCACTGACTCCAGACTCACAGAAACCTTTTTGAAAAAGGGCAGATCCGCTATACGAATTGGCCTGCCTGCCTTTGACCTCAAGACCAAAGCAGGCCTCACCGAACTGAAGGGCATGTTGCGCAAACATCGGCCGGCGCTGGCGTGGTTCTCTTTGCCATGTGGGCCCTACAGTCCTTTGCAGACTCTGTTCAACGAGTCCACTCCTGAGGCGAAAGCCAAAAGTGAAGAGCGGAAAAGACAGTCGCGGAAGTTGATCCGCAATGGCATTGAAGCGGCACGTGAACAGCTTCTACTTGGCGGACATGTTGGCTGGGAGTGGCCATCTAACAATGGTGGATGGAACCTGCGAGAAATGAGAGCTTTTCTGAAAGAATTGGAAGAGCTACAATGCTATCACCGAGTGCATGTGGATGGATGTGCCTTTGGACTCCTCAGCACCAAGGGCAACCCTCTACGAAAGCCATGGAAAATTGTTTTGACAAGTGGGACTTTAGCTGCTGCTCTTGGAAGACGGTGTCCAAGTCACTCCTTCCATGATGAGTGCATCGGTGGTGAAGAAGCGAGAAAATCTGGGTTTTACCCACAAGCCATGTGCGATGCAATTCAACGTGCAGTTCATGAGATGATCAATGAGACCCAGCATGGTGTTTTTGCTGAAGCCTTTCCAGTTTTTGACACAAAGGGGACAGAGTATGAGCCAAGGAAGGCAGAGTATGAACCCCTTACAGAGAATGAGAGAAAGGCGTCACAAAAACTTTTAGACAAGCTGCACCGCAAAACAGGACACCCTTCAAATACTGCTTTAGCTGCGACCCTACGACGCCGTGGGGCACATCCTGAAGTTTTGGAGATGGCAAAAAAGCTGTTTTGCGATGATTGTCAAGAGTTGCGTATGGCACCACTGCATGACTCTGTTTCTTTGGAAAAGTCAGAGACATTGTGGGAAACCTTGGTGATTGACAATGCGGAGTTTCCAGCAGATGGCAAGGTCATGCATTGCCTCATGATGATTGATGAAGCCTCTCGTTTGCTATGTCCTCATTTTTTGTTTGAGCATTCTGACCAGGAGAATCGAAACTGCACTGGCCAGGAAGCTGTTGAAGGAATCCGTGATTCTTGGATTCGCCACTATGGTGCTCCAGCATGCATCCGGCTGGATCCGGAAGGAGCCTTTCGTTCTGGAGAACTTCAACAATGGTGCTCAGAGAGAAGCATAGAGGTGCTTCCGTGCGTTGCGGAATCTCATGGTCAAATAGGAATCATAGAGAGGGCAATTCAAACTGTGAAAGCCACAGTGAGACAGCTGCTGCAGTCCTCAGAGTTTTCACCTTGGGAGGCAGTAGTACATGCATGTCAATCACACAATGAGCTTGACAAGATAGAAGGATACACTCCTTATCAATGGGCTTTTGGAAGACAACCAACTCATGCTGGACGTTTTCATGACAAAAGTTTTGATGACCCTTTCTGGACATCATCAGCAGTCCCGGGCAGTAGCATGGCAACCAATCTGAAGCTGAGGGTGCGAGCTCAGCAGACCTTCTTGCGACAACAAGCACAAGAACAAGTGAGTCGTGCTCTCAATGCGAAGACTCGCAGAAATCAGATTTTTCTGCCTGGTGACATGGTCTACTTCAAGAGAGTGAAACCGCCGGCTCAGCCAGCTGCAGCCACGCGGATGGGTCACAAGCTATGGCGATGGTATGGTCCAGGTCGAGTCTTGGCTTCGGAAACCAGAAGTGATGCCTATGGATGTGAGCGTAGGCCCACGCATGTGATCTGGATAGTGACGCATGGAAGACTGAAACGCTGCTCACCAGACCAGCTGCGTCATGCTTCAGAACGAGAACGGATGATAGCTGAGAACTCACAATCTCCTAGCACTACATGGACTTTCCACAGCATGGCTCAAACTTTGGTGAAGGGTGAGTTTGAAATCTTGGATCAAAACGTTTTTCCTGGTGATGGTGAGCGAATGGCAGCGCCAAGAACTCCACGAGCACGATCTCTCAGCCGTCCTCGTGGGGATGCTGCTCAGCCTGCGTCAGGTAGGAGTAGGTCTGTTCCAAGAAGCCAAGAGCTAACAAAGACCTCACAAAAATTTGTTGAGACCGGGGCCACACCAGAAAGCTGACCCCGGAAATATGACCCTTCAAGAACTTTTGGACCAGGATGACAGCGGTGGAAGGGCACACCAAAAAGCTGCATCCAAGAAAACAAACAAAAGCCCATTAGAAGGGCAACAAGACGGGAGAGACCGCAAACTGGCTAAGGTAACACCAGGAGTTAGCAGTAGGTCTAGGGCCCGTAGTTCAGATCCCAGCAGCGTCCCCACCAGTGGTGTACGCTTAGAAAGTCTTGATGGCATCGATCTGGAACGCTATCTGCGTGATCCTGCATATGAGCCAACTCCAAGTGCCGTGGTGAAAGAGCGCCCAACTTCTGATCTTTTTCAACAACCTTTGTTCAAGAAGCAACGCAAAGAGCATTTTGGAGATGATGATCCTTTTGCTGGCTATGTTGCACAGAACAAAGTTGAGTGGCATCCTAAGATGGTGTGTACTTTGGAATTGCCTCTGCCTGAGACCTCTAGGGAGTGGAAGCGTCTGAAACGTGAGCCTCAATCCTTCTTCGTGAAGAAAGTTCGAAGTGCAGAAGTGAAATGGCATCTTCTCTCTCCAGAAAAGAAGGAGGCATTTCAGGCGGCAAAGCAGGCAGAGGTGGACCAATGGATTCAAGCAGAAGCTGTCAAGAGGGCAGTGGGACCAATTCCAAAAGGGCGAACTCTGCAAACACGGTGGGTGCTCACCTACAAGGAGAGCGGCGCACCAAAAGCTCGAATAGTGCTGATTGGATACCAGGACCCAGACCTGGAGTCGCTCCAGTCTAGTGCACCGACCATGTCTCGGAGGACAAGACAGGTGGCCCTCCAGTATTCTTCAGTGAGACAATGGCGCCTTCTCAAGGCCGACGTCAAAGCCGCCTTCCTACAGGGCGAAGCCACTGAAAAGGACCGACTGGTCTATGCTTTGCCAATGAAGCCGTTCAGGTTCTCAAGGCATGCTATGGTCTGGTGACAGCACCAGCCCGATGGTTTCAATGCATTTCCAAGACCCTGAAAGAACTTGGCTTCCACCAGTGCAAGAGCGACCCATGTCTATGGATTTTTCTTTGCGCGGATGAACGAGGTGAGATGCAGACCCAGGGTTACATATGTTCTCATGTGGATGATTTCATCATTTCGGGCAATGAGCAGTGCGAAGAATGGTGCAAAGCCTTGGAGGAATTTCATGGGCGCTTTAGATGGAGCCCATGGGAAGCCCAGTCATTTCTCCATTGCGGCATTCGTCTACGGGAAGAGCTGGATTTTAGTTTCTCCTTGGACCATTCCACCTTTTGTGAGAACATTGAGCAGATCACCTATGAGAAGCGTGCCGACCACGAGCGCGTCACCGATGATGAACTGACCCAGCTTCGGGGAGTGCTAGGTGCGTTGCAATGGCGCTCACACCAGACAGCACCTCACTTAGCTTCCAGGCTTGGTCAGTTGCAAAGTGAAATATCAAAAGCGACGGTTGGTACCCTGAAAGCTGCTAACAGATTGGTAAGGGAATGTTTTCAAACCAGACACTTGTCCACTAGAATCAACCAATTGGATGTTTTAGATCCAAAGGATGTGTGTTTTGTAGCATGGTCGGACGCAGCATTGGCCAATCGCGTCGACTTTGGCTCTACTGGTGGATTTCTGGTTGCTGCAGCAAACCCTTGCATCTTGCGTGGCGAACCTTCTCCTCTTTCTTTGATCTCATGGCGCTCTGGCAAGCTGGGTCGAAAATCACGATCGACTTTGTCTGCAGAGGCGCAAGCGCTCTCTGAAGCAGATCAAGAGCTGATGTTCGTAAGGCTGGCTTGGAGTGAGTTGTGTGGCATTGCCGTTGATTTGAGAAAGGCTGATGAAAGCATCAGCAAAATTTCCGGAACAGTAGTCATAGATGCAAAATCTCTTTTTGACGTCCTAGAGAAGCGAGAACTTAATTCGGCAGCAGTTGGTTTGAAAGATAAATACAGAGCTCTGGAAGTGTTATGTTTGCTGGAGTCAATAGAGCGATTGAAGACCAATGTGAGATGGGTGCATTCGGACGCCCAATTGGCTGATGCCATGACCAAACCACTGCCGCCGGGAATTTTACATAAGGTCCTCCATGACGGAAAGTGGACTTTGTGTTACGATCCCAATTTCACGAGTGCCAAGAAACTGAAGGCGAGCCAACGTGCCAAATCCTTTCAAAACTTAAGGGGCGTGTCAGTTGTTGAGTCTTGTCAGCCTCAGATTCCCACTGATTTCAATCCTTTGGCACCTTGGCCCAAAACATCTCGTGAATAGGGACCCCTTTTGCCTTTGTGACGCTCTGTCGAGCGTGTGATGCTACGTGGCTGATCCTTTGCTGCAAAATCAGTGCTGCAGCGTTGGTGCCTTGGGGACACCGTGAACGTGAAGGACTTGCAGTTGTCCTTGTTTTTACTTGATCTAGGTGATCATTGAATTATCTGGTTGACCACATCTTTTCTTAGCATCAGCATCTGTGGAATCTGCCAGCTACCAACACACGGTTTCCCTTCCGTCCACCCTATCGTCATTCCCGTATCGCTCCTTCCCACCGGAGCTCTCCCCAAGCTATTTCCCCCGGTTTTCTTCCGTTCATCCTGTCGTCATTCCCGTACCGCTCCTTCCCACCGAGCTCCCCCAAGCTATTTCCCACGGTTTCCCTTCCGTCCACCCAGTCGTCATTCCCGTATCGCTCCTTCCCACCGGAGCTGTCTCCCCAAGCTATTTCCCCCGGTTTTCTTCCGTTCATCCTGTCGTCATTCCCGTACCGCTCCTTCCCACCGGAGCTCCCCCCAAGCTATTTCTCAAGGTTTCCCTTCCGTCCACCCTCTCGTCGCTTCCGTATCACCCCTTCCCCTCGGAGCTCTCCCCAGGCGATTTCTCACGGTTTCCCCCCCGGTCGCTTCCATCCCGATCCTTCCCCACGGAACTCTCCCCATGCTATTTCCTACGGTTTCCCCTCCGTCCACCCAATCGTCGCTTCCATCCGTCTCTCCCGGCGGAGCTCTCCCCAAGCTATTTCCCACGGTTTCCCCTCCGTCCACCCTTTCGTCAAATCCGTATCGCTCCCTCCCGGCAAGCGTAACTAAACGAGAACCCAAGCATCGGAGATGCGTTTGGGAACAATACGAAACAATGTGAAAGCAAGACAGAACGAACTTAAAATCCCTTCAGATTCTACAGTCTTTTGATATCTGAGGCTTTGCCTTATGCCTCCTGGTTGCATATTTGACACAAGTACCACGCCTGTGACAATAAAGAACTTCAGAATTGCATGAGAGCCACAGAAACAACACGGAAACACATGACACCGAGACACGATGCCCAGCTCTTCAGCAGCAGGTTTGGTGACCTCATGGATGGGATGGGCAGTACAATGTTCACCATCCCAGTTGCCAACCTCACCATGGAGGAGTGTAACGGGAGTGCAACGGGAGTGCAACGTGTGGCATGTTGACAAGATTTGACAAGATGTTAACATTGACAAACATTGACGAAGTGTGTCAAACATGGAAAGGGAAAGCAAAGACTTTCAAACTGCTGTCCAAGCGTGGGGTACAAGCACGTTGTGTCACTTGCTCCGACAGGAGTATCAGGCATTGGCAAATGATGCAATGATGTCGCAAGCGCCTTGTTCTGCAAATCTCCAGAGAAACAAGTTTTGCAGATTTTAGCAGTAAATAGCCATAGCGTCAACGCGTCAAAAAGCTAAGACGAAATAATGAGTAAAGCACGGGTTCCTTTGTTTTGCCTCAGGTCAGTGACATCGCGGTGAAATTCATTTTGATCCTTGGAGACGGTTCGTTCGGCTTCAAAATGTTCGATCAGAGCAGCACACGCATCTATCATGGCATCTCTTCAAGCCAGCTTTGCATCTCCTTGTTTCATGTTGTTTCCAAGGATTGGTGCCGGGGTGTTGGTGGCCGCAACAATGCAAGGCTTTGGTTTTTCTTGGTTTGCTGCACATCAAGTGGCCAAGATGCGACCTTTGCAACTTGTCAGAATCGAAGAGATTCCAACCCTTCGCAGAGCTTGTGAACAAAATGCAAAGTGCTATCTAGGCAAAGTACTTGATGACACATCGCTGTGTCATAGAGATTGAAATCAGCATTCTCCACTTGTGTGTGAAATTATGGTCCAGCCAATGTCAGTTCAACCATATCATGTCACCAGCATGTCACCTCACTTTGTCAGCTCAGAGCTCTTCGTTTTGGGGTGAAACAAAGGGGCATGTTTTTGAATCGGATGCGTTGGGCTTCTTGAGCTTAGGTACTTCGACGCCATGTTGCATCGGGATGTTGGATGGTTTGACACACATTCCCCAGGGGCACTGCCAGGCAGCGAATAGGTGAAGTCTCAGGTAAGAAGACGTGAGTACTGTGAATATCTGTGCATCTAGTGAGAGTTTGAGCTGAAGAGAGTTGGGTGCTCGCTTCGTCTGTGTTACGTTCAGGTGAAATGGCCTCTGATCTGGATCAATTCGCAGAAGGCACACTTTCCTTGGATTCCTAGCAATTTGAAATGTGGAATGAAGAACGGATTAAATTTAACCTTTCTCGCTGTACATTCTGCCAGTGTGAGACGAAGGCTTCGGCAACAAACTTGGTGTTGCCGTGATGTCACTGTCCGGATTGATCGCGGGTTTGACAGTGGGCTTCACCCTGCAGGTGACTCAGTTCTTTTGTGTCAAATCCATCCTGCACATTGTAGTACATCAATGGAGATCAATGTGCATCAATTGTACATGTTGACCAAAAAGGCGCTGGTTTGAGGTCCTGGCAGATTTCGCTTCTGATGTTGGTCACTTTGCCATTGATGGCTTTGGGAGCTATTCTGATGGCAAGTGCTGTTGAAGATGCATTGCGTCTCAGCACAAGACTTGTGAAGATGAGTAGGTTCCACGATGCTGTGCCATGATGTTCCGCTTCGAAAGTGAGAGGAGTGCTGAAACAAACCTATAAACCTTTGCCATGGCTGCCATAGTTGGCCTTCTCTGAATTCAAGCATGACACCTTTGGAAGCATTGCCAAGGAAAGAAGTTCAGGGTCCATACGAGAAAGCTGCTGCTTTGGCTGACGAAGTGCTATTCGCGATTCGGACCGTGGCCGCTTGGCTTGGCTTCTGAGGAAAGGATGCATCCTTTTCTGTACTTATCAAAAGAAAGAATGGATTGCTCCAATCATTGGCCTTGGATGTTTCAAACTAAGGTGGCTTTCGGCGGTGAGGCCGCTTGTAGTCAACAGACAGCATGCAAATACTTTGCTGACATTTCCTCAGCACACCGCCAGGCCCGAGAGCTTAAGCGCTATGGAGCAGCAACCGACCTTGCAAAGAGAGGAGGCTCAAAACGTGTCGCTTTTAGTCTGATTCATGATCACTGCGAAAGGCTTATTCTTCCTTTCATTTTTCATGTTTCCCATAACTTTAAAATTGTCATAGATAATCATTTCTGATATCTATGCCATATGCCGCAAGGGTTGAGCTCGCAAAGCCTGCGTGTATCGCCGAGTCGTCACAGAATATCCTTGGGATCTTTTCCGAATCATGTTTTAGATGTTTTAGCTCCTGCCACGTGAAGTAGTTGGAGTGGGGGTGTGTTGGTTCTTCATGGATTAAACATGATTCAGCTTCTGCCACGCTTAAAAACTGTTTTTTTGCTGTCTCATGGATTGAGCAACAGCTACTTCCATGCATACTAGTTGTATTTGGGGGTCTCATGCAGCAAGTATTGAACTTCATTCAGGAAAAGATGAGGGCTATGTTCCGGAGTCATTTTGCATGAGATTCTTCTTTACGTCATATTCGGTCCCAAAAAAATTTTGCAGACCAGCCGTATCCAAGTCATATGGAAATGCTGCCATGTTGATTCCAGGGCTTGACATGACATGTATACCAACCTAATAAATTCAGATAGCTGCCAAGCTGCAGCAAGGGTTTCACATTGTTGCCCTTGTACTCCTTCCCTCACAAGTTTTAGAGGCAAAAAGAGTGCATTGTGTTCTGTCAAGGTTGGCCTTATCATATCTTACTCGTGTCTCATGAACAGATCTCACATCTTGTCTTGTGCAGATGTTTTGTTTCGCATGTCCTACACATATCTTAAAGACAGCCTACTTATCTCCATGTCCATGCATTGTCCTGACGCACATGTTTTCCCACATGATTTCTTTCTTTCAATGTCGGTGTTTGGGCAACTCATCGTCTTGTACCTACTTGCTTTAGGATTTGCAGCACGAGATGTTCTCATCAACCGAATCTGGAAACCGCATGTGGCCAGGTCTCAAGAATCGAATCAAGATGGGCATGGGCAACTTGGCGACAACTGTCCTGTGGAAAATTATTGATGCTCTACAGTTGAGCACCAAGGAATGGGCTATGTGTGGCTTGTTTACTTTGCAGCGATGGCATTGGCCTTCTGGTTTGCAATGAAACTCATGTACGATGGCAACGAGGCGCCTCTTTGGGAATCAGGGTTTTGGACAAGTTGAACGGAAAAAGATGTGAAAACCGCAATGTTCCATATTTCTTGTAGAACAAGTGTGCGTGTGTCGGTTTGTGTGCTTTCTTTGGTAGTTTTCTGTTGGCAGGACCTCACATCTGGCAAGGTTATGTCAGCATTTTTCTGCACCTTGGCAGAAATGAGATCATTGCGTGCTGAAATGACATATGAATACCGCTGAATACAGATTTGGTCAAGATGTCTTTGTCGTCTTTCACTTGGTTGAATCACCCCACGGCCTTCAGGTGTGTTGACCGTGGGCTTCATGGTTGGCAACATCGGCCCAGGATTCGCTGGCATCGGTGCCGCACAGGCCAATTCGCACCACGTGGCTTTGAAATCTACCGCACAAAGTGTTGAAAGACGACACGTGTCAATTGATGTCAACCACATGTCAATCACATGTCAATCGCATGTCAATCACATGTCAATCCTGTCATGATACCAAACACCAATGACAAATGTAACCATGTAGCATGGCATGCCAGACATCTATGGCCCGCTTCTTCTACGTGGCTAGCGCCCAAGAGCATGCTTTGACTGTGGTGCAGCTGAGATCTGAGATGAGCCGAAAGCCAAGGTCAAGCACGATTCAGAAATTCAACGAAGCTGCTCAGCTGAATTTTGGCGTCTTCTAAGCCTGTAATGAGCAGGATTAATTTTGTGTATTTTGAAACCATTCGGCTGGGCTTTTGTCAAATGGACGGATTGGTTGGCGACTTATTGCTTGGAGCTGCAATGGCAGACGTGCCCACACTATCAAGTGTTTTGCAATGTTGAAATCGAAGCTTTCTTCTGAGCCTTCAAGGGCCATTCAGCAAGATTTCTTGTACAGCTTGCCGCTCAAACCAAGGACAAGTAGATGATCGATTGAAAATTGACCGGGTTGACACATTGCAGCTGCAAAATGTGCACTTTGCCTACCCTGCTCGACCGGACATCAAAGTTCTTCAGGGTGTGTCATTGACGATCCAGAAGGCGAGCCAGACTCATGAAATTAGCCAAAGATAAGAGCTGCAAGAGTAAAGGAAACCTAAAAAGAACAGCAGCATGTTGCACTTGTTTCACTTCTTTTGGCTTCTTTGACTCTTTGTTCTGCAGGGCCAGAAGGTTGCCTTTGTGGGGGAGTCCGGCAGTGGAAAGAGCACCATCATGGCGTTGCTGGAGCGTTTCTACGACCCAGTCGAGGGCGCTGTACTTGTGAACAATACAGATCTCAGGACAGACCATGACACATCTCAACACAGTCAGCAGCAAACGTGCAGCAATGCAGTTAAATTGTGTTAAATGATTTGTGTGTCCTCTTCATTTCCAAAGTGCAAAATGTATACGCTTGACTCCCGAAAGGAAGCTGAACATCCAATCATACCGCAAGCAGATTGGATATGTCGGCCAGGCTGGATTTGCTTGCCTCAGGGACACACAGAGTATGGATACATGTCATCAGGATACATGCCGTCTCCTTTTCGTCACCTGAAATGAACAATCCTTTTCTGAATGTCATTGTTTTATGAAAGCTTTGAACTCTACTTTCTGCCAGGGGGAAGCTTGAGTTTGAATTGATCGAATTCAGGCAGCTCACACCTCTGCACCACTAAAAGACTCTAAAAATGGAAATCTCACGCTGAGCCAAATGCCGTGCCGTGTCAAGGAGCCTGTTCTTTTTGCCACGAGCGTCCGAGCCAATATCATGCAGGGAAGCACTGGTGCCACAGAGGAGGACTGAAGTTTCAAATTGTGGCGTAGTGAGGGTAGCGACCTTTTGGAGGTGAAAAATTGATAAAAATGTGCAAAATGGACCTATAGAGTTCGTCTCGTTGAGGACTTGCAGATTGCTGCCTCCAATGCCCAGTTGGACTTCGTCCACAATTTGCCGCAGCAATTCGATACCTACGTGGGCTCTGGAGGGTCCGCATGATTTTTTTCCTCTCGAATCGCCAATATGTCCCTACTGAAATGAAAGGGTCGTTGTCCATGTGAGCCTCACGCGAACCATTTCCAATTTCGGTTCCAAATTCTTCTGTCAGAACATCCTGTGCCTTAGACTCTTAGACTTCTGATTTGGCGACCAAAGCTTTGCGAAGTTCCGCTGCTTCTGCTCATGAAGGTCTCAGTTCTCTGGCGGTCAGAAGCAGCGGATTGCCATTGCCCGGGCATTGCTGAAGAAACCTTCAGTCTTGTTCCTGGTGTCTTGTTCGGCAAAAATACCGGTCGTTCATTGAATTTGGTGCCGTTTGGCAGAGTATGTTGATGCCGTTTGGATCATATGAGTCAAGAGTATCAGCTGTCCAAAATAATCGTATTATAAACATGACATGAAATCACCATAAATCACCAGTTTCGCGACTTGTGGGATCCATTGGCATTTCAAAAGGATGTGACCCACGCCGCGAAGGACGAAGCCACCAGCGCTTTGGACAGCACCTCGGAGAAGATGATCCAGAAGACCATCGATGACCTCGGAAAGACGCTTCCAAAACAATTTGGTGCATTCGTGGAATTTGGGGAAAGTATGGGAACCCATGCGAACCCATGGAAACCCATCGGAACCCGTGGGAACCCATGGGAACCCCGGGAAGGCTAGTGTTTTGTAGGTTTTGTAGGTTTCGTACTTTCATCTGCAATCTTCTGCTATAAATGCGGGATAAAGGGGGAAAAAAAGGCTAGCCAGCTAGAAAATCATGGTTGACCATGCAGGGTACCCAAGGTTGACCATGGCACATCCCAGGACTTTCTGGAGCAAACCCCCAATGTATGCTGAGTGAGGCTGAACATGTGCTGTTGGATTTTAACAGGGAAAGACTGGTTTCCTGACTGGTTGGATGGATATCCTCCAGGCCATATCCAAAAACCTGAGTTTTGTCTAGCCAACTCTTCCATGATGCAAAAGACAATATAGATAATTTCAGAAAAGATCAAAGAGTATGCATGTTACATGTTTTCCTTTGACAAGCTGGGTGCGCACAACTGGGAAGGGAAGCAGATTCCAGTAGCCCACCTTGACATTTTGTCTCAGCTTCAGGAGCAGCAGCCTGGGCAGCATGACAATTGTAACGATCGCACATCGTTTGAGCACAGAAGCTTGTCTTGCAATTTATTGAACGAACCTTCTATTCTCATGGTGCTGTTTGTATCCTGCTTGGTTTCAAAATCAACAAGCCTTTTTCCAATTGCAAGTGCTATTGCAGAGGGAAACTCAAGCGGGCTTTTCTCTCTGGTCCTGCTTCTTGTGGGGCAGAACTCAAACTGAGGGCCACAGGTGTCGGAGAAAATAGCTTGCTATTCTCCGAAGTTTTGCATATAGCAAGAGCCTTTTCACATTCGGCTTTTATAGCACAATCTCCCAGGTCGAAAATTCTGATGTGATCTATGTCCTTCAGGGCGGAGAGGCGGCCAATCCCAGTCCAGAACCATGAAAGAGTTAGACCAAAACAGGAGACCGGACACGGCGGACACGGCGGACACGGCCTTTGGCCACCTTTGGTCCCTGGAAGGTCATGGAGCAAGGCTCGCACAAGGAGTTGACTGCCAAAGAGGCACGGTCGGCGCAGAGCTCCTTTCCAAAATTATGAAAGTCAAGTACAGGCTACTCAGGCTACTCCATTTTGAAAGGAAAACAAAGCCTAGATTCACTGTAAGAAGTTGAATTTCGAACTTGGCCTTTGCCAGGGCGGCATTTACCAAGCTCTTGCTGCTGCACAAGGAGCAGTGATGAAACGCCAGGCAGAAGTCTTTCAGCTCTGGATTTTGAAAAGAAGACCATGCTTCAAGATGCAGAGCATCTTCTGCTTCGACCTGGCAAACTTTAGGAATGTGTTGGGAGCGAAATAGGTGACAAACATTCGAAGACTCGACAACCTGGTAGGAATTTCGCTGAAATAGAACCGCACCTAGATTGTAACGATTCTAAGTAACCTGCTCTTAAACAATGGATGTCTTGGCAAGGTCTCTGACACAGAAGTTGATGAGAACAAGGCAATGGCAGTCATGCATCTTACAATTCCTACATGGATTTCCACGCGTTTCCAGTGTGTCAAGTGTATTTGTAGGTCAACGTGTCCAGCGGGTGGCTTGCTTGAAAGTGATGGTAGCGTTGAAAAAGTCCAAGGTTCTATCACGTTTGGCGGACCAGTTTGATGTAGGGTAAATTTTGTCTATACTTAATGACTTAGTGTTGCTTTCTTTCGCTTTGTGCACAGGTGTTGGAGATGCTCATGCTTTTGTTTTCACCGGACAGTTTTTGGACCTGAGGAAGGTCACAACGGCCATTGCCAAGTCTGAACAAGCGCAGGAGGCGCATCAAGTGCTTTGCACAGGACGTGTTGGAAAATGCATTACCGCATTGCCGTGACAGGAGGCAGAGGATGAGGATGCACGAGAAGCAAGGATCGCAAAAACCTACAAGGCCTGGCGGATATATTGAAAATTGTGAAATCTGTGCCAGTTGAGAAGCATTGTTTGATGCATTCTATCGAGGCGGTTTCGGTTTCCCCTGAATCATGACCAGGTCCCAATGCTTCGCTTGCTGGGTACAAAGCTCAATTTCACTGTGTATAGCCACACTTTACTGCTTCCATCAACTTCTATCTTGTAAACCTGCGCAAAACATGGTTTGTTAATTGATGTTAATTGTTTGACTTCCTACCAGGCCTGGTTGACCAGAAATCGTGAAGCCCAGGTTTCTCCCGCAGATATTGGGGTTTCTTCATCCCTGGATTTCTGGGTGCATTGGCAGGGCGCTAAGTTCTCTACCTCCAGTGGCTGCATTTTATGACTTGACATGTGAACTGCAAAGCTCACAAATTCTATGCACAGGTTTGTTTTCCGCTTTGTCGCCGTATGATGGTGGGATTTGTCATTTGCACAGGTGAGCGGAGCTTGCTTCCCCATTTTGGGTGCATACATTCTCGTAGATGCTATCGTTGCACTCATGAATCCTGACAAGGCCGGTCGATATGAATCATGCCTTGAGGGTCACCAGAAAACATTGTAAAGGGACCTGGCCCTGGCGCAGTGGTCAAAACATGCAGAAAATGAGTCTGTTTTCTTTGAGCAACAGTTTTTACATCACCGATAGAGTGTCTTTGTCACAGACATTTTGCCTAAGCGTCTTGTGATCATGGGCTGATAAAGGGCTCATAGTCACAGCAGGTCGCAACACGTGCCCTGTCGAGGAAGTGATGAAGTCCAGTGCAGAGACGGCTGCTATGTGGTTTGTGTCATCCTGGCCCTGTTGGGTGACCGTGATGACCGTGCTTTGATTTGCTTTGGCTCAGTGCTTTGTCTTCATGCACTCTTGTGCCTTGCGGGAACATGTGGCATGTGGTTTGTACTTTGGTCCAGCTGAGAGTGCCACACAGAATCACAAGTTTGCGTATGGATCATATGCTATTTTCAAGTTGCCAGGGTGTTTGGCGTGGCCAAGTGTGCAGCAACTTCCGTGCAGTTTGGAAGCTTCGGAATCATCGCTGAGGTGCGTTGTCTCAGTGCGCACAACCAGCACCTTCTCACTATCAAAACGTCTTGTAAAATGATGATGATGTTGATGATGATGATGATGATGATGATGTGTTCTAGCAAGAGCATTCTGCACTGATGCTTTGTCCTCGCTTCTTTGGGATGTCATGCAGTCAAATCAGCACAGGTCACGACAAGGGAAGCCCGTGTAGCGATGTTGACCCACATGTTCCGTCAAGAGATTGGCTACCATGACGATCCAGCCCTTTGGCACATTGTGGTCCTCAAGATGTCACAAGATTTGAGTTGCACCCAACTTTTGGTCAAGCCAAGTCTTGAAGTTTCGTCAGGGATGTCACAATTGGAAGAGTGGTTGCAAATTTATTTGCTGAGTGAGTGTAATTCATAATTCAATCATGTCTTTGTTGTTCCTGTTGTTCCATCTCGAGGAGAATAGTCCTGGCAAACTGGTCGCAGCTTTGAAGATCCATGCTTATCGGGTCTCGACACTCATTGTGAACTTCGGTGACAAAGTGGATGCTCTTTGCTCCGTTCTCGTCCCTCGGAACAAAGTGCTGCACCAAATGGAAACAGATACGCACCTCAAGGTGGATAGCTTCGGATTTTTTAGCCTTACGCTTTTGATATGCGTTCTTTGCACGTTTTCGATTGTTACACATTTGAGTCCAAAAAATCTTGCACTGAGGTTGGCATGGTGATTGCATTTTTGGCTTGTTGGGAGATGGCGCTCGCAATGCTTCTGGCGATTCCAATTTTCGGCGTTGCACAAGGCAGACTGATGCAGACTGATGCAGATTGTTTAGCATGTTTTAGTTTTAGGTGGTGGAAGCCCAGAATCCTAAAATCCACTGGTGCTTTTGATGGCTGAGGCATCCAGATGGCAGTGATGATGGGGGCCGAGAAAGCAGAGTCCCATCTTCTTAAAAATGCATCGCAGGTCATTTCAGCCACTTGGTTGCATCTCAACTGTCGCATGTGGACACAGAGGCAGGCACGCAAAAACAGAAGGCCAGAAGAACTGATCCATTGAAAAGGGCGCAACAAGCAATAATCCTTCACACCAAAATCAAGAGAATCACTTGATGCACTAATTGCTTTACATTGATAGAGCTGTGAAGAGCTCCGAAAGAACTTAGAATGACTTTGACAAAAGAAAGGACAAGAATGGCCCAGCGACAGGTGGAGAGGAGGAATTACTTTAGGCGAGTCATCGCATGCCCAAGAAAAAGTGTCAAAAGAGGTGAGAAAAGTTACATGTTGACATGCTGCATCGCGTAAGTATAATAAGTAGCTTTTCTGTGGCCTCAGCTAGCAATAATACCACAAAATATGCCAACCCCTCCTCCCAGCTGGATGCCTGGCAGTGTCGAGATAAGCTGAGGACTCACTATTGAACGCTCGCACAGTCCAAGCATCCGGAAATGTGCCTTCACTTGATGTGGAGGTCACTGGACCAGGAAATTTTGATCTTGACGATTGGTGTCGCATGCACTGAGGAGAAAGATGTATTGAAGCTCTATAGCAATATGATCGAAAAGATGTCCAAAGGCCTCACGAGGCCTCCTGCAGTTCCTGCATTGCGTGGGCACTTTCTGATCCAAAACCGAAGAGACTTTATGAGACTTTAGGCTGACCGATGCTGACCGGCAAAAGACTTACACAATCCCTCGCCAGAACTTGGACTCACCGGGCAGCACAGTGGGATTTGGGACAGACATTGCCCGTGCTGTTTTTGGTTTTTGGTTTTTGGTTCCGCCGCCAGGGGAACATTTCTCGGTGCAGTTGGCTTTGGAGTTTCAAGTGCCGTCGCCTGGGTCTAAGACCTTTCAATAGTTGGCAGTGCCCCAGCTCCTGATGTTGTCAAACAGATGTGGATGGTTTTTGCTGGCTGAGGTTTTCTGGGTTATGGCTGGCGGCTTCTACATCATGGGCTTGCTCATCAAGGAACGTGCTGAAGCTTCTTACATTCATAGCTGCAGTCGTTGAAATCAAAGCAAGCAAACATTCAGGGCTTGACTCGGCTCTGAAACAAAGCTTTCTCATCTCAGTTTTTCATTTCCAGGAAGGAAGAGCTGACTTTCAGTCAGGCCAGCAAGCATTCATGGGCCGCTAGGCGAATGAAATAGATGGGACGAGATGTGGGTCAAATTAATGTCAAGGGATTCAAGAGCTACATGGCTGTCAACGCACCACTCGGGACTTTTGTTGCTGAGTGCCATTGGGGTTGAGATGTGTCACTGGCTGTGTCACTGGCTGCGTCACTGGCACTGAGGTATCCTCTATGGCGTGATAGCCTCAGACTGAGCGCACTGAGCACCTGGATGGCGATGCCATTTTGAGGCCATGGGCGTTGGCATGGCCTCTGCGCTCACGGGCTATATTGCACCGGCCACAGAGGAGGCATACAGGATGACCGGATGACCCGATGACCCGATCATGCAGGATCTTGACATTGAAAGGTCTTCCAGTGGTTCAGCTGTTTTCAGCTAAGGCCAAAGCAAAAGTTGCTGCATATGTCCCTCGGATGATCATCGACTTACATTGATGCAATACATATCACAAATCCGAAATATTCTGACATGTTGTGAGATTTAAGTTTTTCCAGGTCCTGTTCTTTTTGCATGTTCTCTTTAAGAACCCAAGAAGCTATGGCAGGAGATTTTCAAGCTTATCGACAAGCAAAGCTTGATCAACGGGCTTGAACCAGTGGGTGCCAAGTTGGATGCCGGTGCAGTTGTTGGGCGAATTGAGTCTCTTGTCCATGCATTAAACAATACTGAACCTGTAAAATGCTGTGAAGTTCTGTCTCTTGTTGTGGCCCTCAAAATAGTTTTGAAGATTCGGATTCCGATTTTCATGACCAGTGGATGTCAGCGTGTAGCTGAGGTTCAAAGACGTAAGGTTTGCATATCCATTTCGCCCAGATGTCCAGGTGCTATGACCTAGCGGGAAATTGGTCTGGTCATTTCAGTTGATTGAAGATCTCAACAAGTTTTGTTCAACATTTATACCCATCACGACCAGCGTTGGAACGATTTGAAACAAAGGCACGTTGTGAAGATTTCAGCCTTGCCAGCTACAAAGAGGGGCCATCTCAACAAAATATTGTGCAAGTACATTGTGCAAGTACTTTACATGGAGTCTTGCACCTGAAAAGGCCAGGCGGCCAGTCATGTCACATGACTTCGTTCTGGTAGCATGTTGTACCTGCTATGGTAGGGGTGTCAATTCTGCGATGTGGAGCATTCCTTGCAGGTCCTGAAAGGAGTTTCATTCACTTTGGAAGCCGGAACATCTGCCGGATTGGTGGGACCTTCTGGCGGCGGGAAGAGCACAGTCATGGTGATTCAGAAGCATTGGGCAGCATTTGCATTGTGGGGATGTTGCCTTTGGGCTTGCATCGAGCACCGAACCTGTGCTCACAAAGTTCAATTTGGTCTGGTTCCTGCACTTGTAGGAAAAGCTTCCTGCGATGTATCTAAGGCGATGATTCAACGCGTTTGGGCCTCATTCGTGCGCGTCAGATTGCAGAGCATCATACTGTACATGTTTTGGGCCTGGTTCGATGTATCTAGCTAACTTCTGTTTTTGGATTTTGAACATGCTTGATGGCCTGTCCCAAAGCAAGTCTCCTTTCATACCGATTGCGTTTGATTCTGTGCCTCGCAAGAAACAGATGCATTATATACAGTGAATATACAGTTTGTGAGGTGGTTTTCGGTTGCAACGTGCTTTTTTGATTCCGCAAGACTCCTGTGTGTTGCAATCATTTGCCAGTTCTACGATCCAAAATCCGGATCTGTGCTGATTGGTCGGTTCCTGAGATTTCTTCAAGATGAAAATGTCTTTTGCATCCTTTTGCCCGATTCCCAGTGTTGGAGATGCTGTTTACTTTCCAGGTCAAAGCGCAAGGCCTTTGACCGAGCTCAACATCAGGCGCACGGAGGGAAAGATATGGTGTCATTTTGTGTGTGTGTGCGTGTTTTTGTTCTTTTTGGCTCATCTCTTGCATATCCTATGTTCTTTTGCAAGTGCCTGAACACAGTGCGGTGTTTGACCATGGTCTGCTAACATATCGGATGCACCGCTGCACAGCTGTTGCACCTTTTCCTGTGAAAATCCAACCCATCAGCATCTTCAGTGTCCCAGCGCCCCAAGATGCAAGGTGGTGGCGCAAGCAAGTGGGTTTTGTGGGCCAAGAACCAATTCTGTTTGATGCCAGTGTTTTGGATAATGTCTCTTGAACGCATTTTGCAGATCTCTTCAAACTGCTTCGGTTTCGGTGCAAGTTACTTCTTTGGAACCATTGTCAGCTTGCATCATTTGCGCCTTTGCAATCAACCTTAAGAGGTTGCATGAAGTTTCTAGATTTGTGGTGAAAGGTCTTGTATGGACTCGAAGACGGAGAAACTGCTTCTGCTGACCATCTGGAGAAATGTAAGAAGATGGCGAATTTGAATTTCATCGACAACCACAAGGCAGGGACAACGGGGCACAACAGGGCACAACACAGGGCACAACACCGGGCACAGCAGATGACCAGATTTGTTGATGTCAAACTGATGTCACGTTGATGCCAGCTCTGCCAGGCGCAAGGCTGGGAGACACAAGTCGGTCCTCGTGGAGCGCGTTTGTCTGGAGGACAAAAGCAGCGCGTGGCCATTTGCCGCGCCTTGGTGCGGAATCCACCCATTTTGCTGCTTGGCGCAGAGCATCAAAGCAGATCAAGAGATGTTAAGAAATACCAACAGTGTCAGCGTTGGCATGAGAGAAGTGGTCAGCGCAACACATTCCAACATGATTCTGCGAATGGTGCCAAGGCTTCTGGATGAAGTTTCTTGGATCAAACCCATATACAGTGATGTTTGCAGCCTCACAGATCATATGCATTGTGTACAGTGTCATTGGATAAGGTTTTACAGTTTTACAGACGTGAGAACGAGGCAACGAGTGCACTGGACTCCCAGAGCGAGCGTCTTGTACAGAGGGCCTTGGAGGCGATTTCAAATTAGCTTCACAGCAGACATGTTTTGGAGCAACGCCCGGCCAGGCTGCAAAGCAAGATCGAACCTCCATTGATCCTTGGAAGAAATTGGATTCCAAAAACATTAGAACTGCATGCAAGTATGATACCGTCGCACACATTTGGAGAGAAGTTCTCGGTGAAGAATTAGCTTTCCAAGGCCATTGCACATCGCCTTTCCACCATTGAAGATTGTCTCTCGGCCTATCTTCCTGGTGGCCAATTAAGCCAGTGCCAGTTGACACCCTTTTGGAAGTGTTGAATTTACCTGTGAAATTGTTACAATATTGTTACTGTTGTTCACATTTTGTCGAGGTGATGTGATTCTGGTGGTGTCGGAGGGCCAAATTGCTGAAGCCGGAACCCATGCGCAACTCATGGAGCGCAAGGCACGGGCCATGCCACACGTTGCAGCGGCACATGTCATGAGATCTATATAGATCTACGATACCATCGGGCGCCAGGGAGTCTACTACAAGCTCCAGAAGGGAAAGAAAGAGAATTGAGGAAATTGAGGCATTGAGGTGCCTCAGATACCTTGAGCCATTCAAATCTTTCCATAGCCTCGGATGCATTCACTCAAACTTGCCTCAATCAATCTGCCTACCAGGCAAGGCCTATCAATTCAAGGAGTACATCGCTGGCTTCAACTTCACTCCAACCTGGATCCTTCCAGATTTTTCCCTCAGGTTGAATGGTCATGAACAATACAGGTTCTTGTTTTGCCTTGCACCCATATCTGAAGGATTGGTAGTGTAAAGGCGATACCAAATTTTGAGAGATGCAATCGAAGGGTTCTACACCTTGTACAGCAAATCCTTGCGATTGCGGAACCACTGAACTGACGTCGGATTGACGTCACGTGTTCAATCTGTTGCTCGGCTACTGATTGCAGAATAAAGCAGATCCAAAATCAAGTTTCATCGGCCAGGGTAGATTGACAAAATGTGATGGAGCATCGTTTTAGAAGCATATCCTTTACCAGTAGTACCGCGCAAAGCGGTGGCGGAAGTTTCATAAATCACAAAACCTATAGGAGAGGTTGGTTGTTGTGAATCACGGATGGCAGAGCGAATCCACTGATGGACCGACAGGTGGCTGCAATTGTGTTTTTTGGAATGGTTGCAATGGTTGCAGTGGTGTAGTGCAGTGTGAGTGAAGTAGTGTAGTTGTAGTTGTAATGTAGCGTCCAGAAGTTGTAGTTGCAGCGTAGTGTCGTATAATTAATGTAATGTAGCGTAATTAGTGCAATGCAGTGTTGTGTAATAGTAAGTAGTAGTAAGTAGTAGTAAGTAGTAGTCAGTAGTAGCAAGTAGTAGTAAGTAGTGGTAAGTAGTGGTAAGTAGTAGTAAGTAGTAGTAAGTAGTAGTAAGTAGTAGTAAGTAGAAGTAAGTAGTTAGTAGTAAGTAGTTAGTAGTAAGTAGTTAGTAGTAAGTAGTTAGTAGTAAGTAGTTAGTAGCAAGTAGTTAGTAGTAAGTAGTAGTAAGTAGTAGTAAGTAGTAGTAAGTAGTAGTCAGTAGTAGCAAGTAGTAGTAAGTAGTGGTAAGTAGTGGTAAGTAGTAGTAAGTAGTAGTAAGTAGTAGTAAGTAGTAGTAAGTAGTAGTAAGTAGAAGTAAGTAGTTAGTAGTAACTAGTTAGTAGTCAGTAGTTAGTAGTAAGTAGTCAGTAGTTAGTAGTAAGTAGTAGTAAGTAGTAGTAAGTAGTAGTAAGTAGTAGTAAGTAGTAGTAGCTAGTAGTTAGTAGCTGGTAGTAGTAGTAGTAGTAGTCGTCGTCGTCGTCGTAGTAGTCGTCGTCGTCGTAGTAGTCGTAGTAGTCGTAGTGGTCGTAGTAGTTGTAGTAGTAGTCGTCGTAGTGGTAGTGGTAGTAGTGGTAGTAGTGGTAGTAGTGGTAGTAGTGGTAGTAGTGGTAGTAGTGGTAGTAGTGGTAGTAGTGGTAGTAGTGGTAGTAGTGGTATTAGTGGTATTAGTGGTAGTAGTGGTAGTAGTGGTAGTAGTGGTAGTAGTGGTATTAGTGGTAGTAGTGGTAGTAGTGGTAGTAGTGGTAGTAGTGGTAGTAGTGGTAGTAGTGGTAGTAGTGGTAGTAGTGGTAGTAGTGGTAGTAGTGGTAAGTAGCGGTAGTAGCGGTAGTAGCGGTAGTAGTCTATCTAGCTATCTAGCTATCTAGCTATCTAGCTATCTAGCTATCTATCGATCTATCGATATCTATCGATATCTATCGATCTATCTAGCATCTATCTGTCTGTCTGTCAAACTGTCTAACTGTAAGCTTGAAAACGCAGCAATTCTGCGAGACTTCCGTAATTTTTGAATTTGATAACATCACAAACAAAATTATAGGACCGGATAACCCCACATGTCACCAACTTCTCTAGACTTAGATTGAGCATAGAAAAGCGACAAGGGAAGAGGAAGTATGAGAGTGATGGAGGGGTGATGGTGGGTGAGTTTGTGTGTGTATCTGCATGCAGAGGGGAGTGAGTGAGACTGTGAGTGAGTGATGTGAGTGTGGTGTGTGTGAGTGAGTGAGGGAGAGTGAGCGAGTGAGAGTGAGCGAGTGAGTGTGAGTGAGTGAGAGAGTGAGAGGAAGTGAGGGAGTGAGTGAGAGGGAGTGAGTGAGTGGGAGTGGGTGAGAGCGAGTAGTCCAAGTGAGAGGGAAAGTAATAATGACCCGTACAAGCTTTCTCACTGAGCACCTTGCCGTGCACCCGTATGCTATACTCGATGTCACTGACCTGATCTCCCAATCGGACTGGTACATACACATAGGCATGACAACCGGACCAGGCAGCTTGGATGGCTTTAGTGAGGCAAGGAGTCCGTAGCAGGGCCGAGACGTGAGGTAAAAATTACATGACCAGCCACCTTAGCAGCTTCGAAATGCAGTAAAGAAACATGCCGAGGCATCTTGGAGGGTCCAGAGCGGTGAGGTGAGGCAAGGAATGTACCGTATATAGACCCAAAATGGACCCAGTCGGCCGGCTGAAGAAGGGCGGCCATCGGCAGATGCAGGCTCGTGATGACACAAGCGGGCTCTTTTTACACTATTTGAAGTTTTCTGGGTTTTTAAGTCTTTTCAAGTTTAAAATGTACCATATAGCAGTTTCGAAATCCCTTAAAGATGCATACTTAGGCAGTTCTAACTTGGAAAGGCCAGAGCCGTGATGCGCGGCAAGGGCTGTGCCGATAATAAAGACAAAAATGACCCAGTCGGGCGAATGAAGAACGGCGGCTGTCCACAAATGCAGGCTTGTGGTGACACAAGCGGACTAGTTATGCATTGTATGAGATTTTTGGGGTTTTAAGACTTTTCAAGCCTGGCTAAAACATACCAGGCTAGAGATGTAAGGCAAAAAATACTTGACCAGGCACGTCGGAGGGGTGAGGCAAGGGCTGTGCCATATAGATCCAAAATAGACAAAATTGGGCGGCTGAAGCAGGACAGCCGTCAACAGATCTAGGCTCGTGCTGACACAAGCAGCCTAATTCCACACTGGTTGTGATTTTTACGATTTAAGATTTTTGAAGCTTCGCTAAAGCGTACTACATAGCAGTTTCTCAACCCCTTTTAGACAAATAACCAAACACCATGGAAGGCTGGAGAGGCAAGGAGTCTGTATCAGGCCAAAAACATGAGGTAAAAAATACCTGATAAGGCAATTTAACAATTTTAAAACATTTCAAAGATATATGCTCAGGCAGCTTGGAGGGGGCCAGAGCGGTGAGGTGAGGCAAGGGCTGTGCCT